TGTTCGTTAAAATGAATCAAATTTATACAGACAATGTGAAGGATAGGGTTTGATTTTTCATATTAAATTTTGAAATTCTTCGCTGTAGTCTGTTTTGTTACTTTACAAAAATCATTTTTCTAAAATTTTTGCACGTCATTTGATCAACTTGATGATGAGTATGATATGTCTTCGAATATGATGCCACATTTCATATTTTGTGTTTGCAGTTCATATTTCAGGCTTCAGAAAGCTCTGTGTTTTATTGTGGGAAAAATGGGTTAGCACAAAAATATTCAGCAAAAGTAGAGTGGTAGAAACCCTTGTGAGTTAGTCAATGAGTAGTGATGTTTATTTATCGGAAAAATTAAGCAAAGTTCTGGAATTCTGTTGCGTCTAAACTCTGGTTTGTAGTTCGAACGTACTTTGTCGCAGGTGGAATCGATGGTTCCATTTTTTGATAGTATGCAGATCTCATTCATTCCTGATATCTGTGAGTTTGTGTTTATTTCATTTCCTTAAGTTTGTTTATAGATTTATTGTGGAATTTAAAGAAATATATAGTATTTTCAAACTTAGAAAACATAGATTTCTCTTGTACACACTAAATTTGAGTGTTATGTATCATTTGTTATATATCATTGCTTTTCAGATGTGCTGCTTTTCCGGAAAGTATATGAGTATTGTCTTCTCCAAATTAATAAGGTATATTTAACATTGTAATTCTATTACTGGATTTTCTATGCATTATTGTCTCATAAAATAATTTTGTCGCTGATATGGAGAGGAAAGGGGAGATGGCGATATTTGATTTATATTGATGAGGCGATGAAATTTGTTTGAAAGTTTCTAGCGACTGAGAAAATACCAGTGACAACCCAGCAGAACAATTTCTAAAAATCATTTGTTATTTGACATTGCTTGATTTTCTCAAAAAGCAAGTAAGTATGAGTTTGCGCTATTGTCAAGCGATGTATTACACTGACTAGCTATGTAATTCGCAATATCGGGATTACTAGGTTTTTTTACACTATGGGAATAAAATTTTCAAGATTAGAGTGAAATTTGCAGCCAGCTCGTGGTATCGTATTACTTTCAAATGCAATCAATGTATTGGTAAAAGACGAAAAAGACGTCCTTACTTCGTTGCATCCATGTCTTTTCTGTTTGTGCCTTAAGGCTCGTATACATGATCCAGCCATGCCCTTCTTACATCTTGCTGTGCCGAAAATATTTAAGGAGGTGGTCATGAATTTAAATGATTTATCATTATCATCTTTATTTTCAACGTATATCAGAAATCCAATAGTGCTCAAAGTAGCGCCATTTCTCGCTGCTATGTTTTACACACGTTGTAGTTTCCTATATGGTTCTGTTATAATCTAAAGTGTTACTGTATGTCGTGTTGCTTAAATTTCGAAGTAATTTAATGTCTATGAGAAATGAAATATTGAAAAGTTCTTCATACTTCATTTATATGTTATCTTGATTTTAGACTGCAAATCAAACAGGACCTTACATGAACCCGAAATGGGTAGTGTTATATTTTTACTATGGTGGTTTGCTTTATGCGGTTCTGGGTCGTTACGAAGAAGCATTTGCGATGATGCAGAAAGCATGTTGCATGCCAGCAATTGCTCCTAGCGCTATAGTCGTTCGGGCTTACAAGGTTATTTTTTCTCTTTAAAATCGTGAAGTTATTAGATAATAATTAGTTATGTAAGTTTTCTAATGTTGCCAATTCATTATACATTTGTTCTTGAAAAAGTTTCGGGACAAAATTTTTCATCGTACGAATATCGTCGAATCATTGTTGCCATAACATGGGAGTGGGGTGTTTAGATTGAGTTTTGAAGTAAGATTTGTAAAAATCTTGCACAATTTCCTTATAAATCTGCAGACATATGTGCTGTTGTCATTACTTTTGTATGGGAAAACACTTCGTTTGTCTAATTACCGATCACCAGTGATGACTCGCAGCATTATTCCGTATTGTTCGGATTATTCAGCATTAGGAAGAATATGTGAAAATGAAGAAGAGAATTTTGATAAAGCCAGTGCCATACTTGAATACCTAGAAACGCATTATGCTACTTTCGAGAAGGTATTCTTAATTTTTGTCTAATAGATTTGGTAGAAATAAAGAATTCTAGAAAGCTCTCAAATAAGCTGGATATGTTTAAACTGGCTTGTTTTATTATGCGCTTTTATCGAATAATACTAAAAACATCATAAAGATGTTCAAACTTTCTGTACAGTACCCTAGATTTTTTCTGAGCTCTTTTGGAATAATTTGGTGTTTCTTAGCGAAATCTATTTATTTTTAATCTTTCATTATATCATTTCATTTCCGATTTTGTTAATTTATCCTCTTCGCAGGATAAGACTGTTGGGTTAGTGAAACTTGTGGTTAGAAGTATTCGTGAAAATTCAGTCAAAAGGCTAACTGAGGTTGGTTATTTTCTAATATATTTGTCAAAATATCATCGATTCCTGTTCGATATAAAGTTATATAGCTTCAACTATGTCTTTTACCATTTGGCACAGTATTTAAGCACTCATCCGGTATGTTTTAGGGAGCTAAGAAAGTTTTTGTATCAGACCAAGCACAGGGAATTACTATTAAAAATTATCAAAAATTACTATTAAAGAAGCCATCAAACTTCTCTAATCCTGTTGTAGAACTTTCTTTTCCTGCCATCAAGGAATCAATTAGAACGTATAATGTAATTACAGAAAAAATAATTTCGGAAAAGTCATGATAGGTCTATTTTGAGTCTTTTGAAATATTCTATTTTTGTTCTCAATAAATAAGGCTTTATTTAGTGTTTCATATCGATTTCACTATCAGATGTAGCACGACGATGCCATTTAGACGATAGCGATCACGCCGAACTCTATCTTCGCGATATGGACAAAGACGGAAAAATTAGTGTCCGTATCGACAAGAAACAGAGCATTGTTTATTTTGATGAAATCAAGGTTTGTTGAATTTTTTTTCCTCCTATATAGCACTATAGGTTGGAATTATTAGGCGAGCATGAAGAAGTTTTTGTCCAGTTTCATATCGATTTCAATGTCTCAATCATTTAGTGCACATATTTTGTTAGATTAATTTTACGTTGATATTTTATGTTTTACACGAACTATTTATAATATTGTGGGTTCAGTAATACAGTTCTGAATATTCGAGTTATAATATGAAATGAAATTTTAATTTGATTGATGGTTTGATTTTGAACTTTGAAAAGATTTTGAACCTTAAATAATATACCAAATTATTCTTTGCAGATAGAAGCAGATGAACATGAGGTGGATAAAGCTGCAAATATTATATACACATTGGATGCTTTAATGAAACAGTTTGACGATCGAATTCGCGTCAACCCTTCGTACATTTCACGTGTTGGACGACCATTAGCTCGAGGAGTTTCTGCAATTCCTCCGGATGAGGGTTTGGGACATCCAGGTTCTATTTTTATGCCTAATGTTAATGTTGGTGATATTGAATCTGCAGCTGGTAGACCCATGGATATGGTTGATTAGCTCTTATTGATTTAATAAGAATATTGTAACTTCTTGCATTTTTATAATGATTAACTAAACTTCTTTAATGTTGTCTCTTAAAAACAAGCGGAATATGAAATTAAGTCTTAGAACTAGTCCCAAGATTACATCATTGTGAATGGATGCGTAGAGTCTACACCCGTTGTTTCCTCACGGAGAACCCAGCATTATTTAAATTCGTTACACTTGAAAAAAGAGTGAATCAAAAGTGAGACCATCCCTTTGTAATATATATATGTAAACTGTATATGTTTCCTCCATGCATCTTTTTTACACTGTTTCACTCCCATCCTTTGATAGAAAGTATTTCAGGTGTATTTCAGTTTGATTAAAATAAATATGATATCATCTCCACTGCATAGCTTCTTCCATAGGTTCACAGGCAACTACATCCAACGTGCATTGCGTTTCCAGATACTATTCGCGTGCTAGGGGATTTGTTGTGAGTGTATTCGTTCATACAGTTTTTACTGCGTAGATGCCTTCTCTTCTCATATTATAGATAGCATTTGATAATCTGTCCGATCAAAAATTCTCCGCTTCCGCATGCTTCCGAATTTCAACTTCACTAAATCCGTCTTCCTAGTTTTAATTTCACTACATCAATCAATGTAGACAAAATATTGTAAACTTTGATATAATTTCCAATAGCACAAATATAATATAATATAACGACTATACTACATATATATATATGTATATCTAGAAAATTCCACAGTTATTCCCGAGCTCTAGGGAAATATACGAAAAAATATATTTAAAAAAAAATAGAGGAATATATATTTCCATATAACCCCTACAAATACTATTTTACAATAATCACTAGAGTGAGATGAATTTCTAAACTCATTTACAACAAGGTAACAACATCTGTTGTATAACAACAACAATAACATTTGTATATTTCATCTTTTTTACAAATTAAAGATTTAAATATTGGGCTATACTGGCATTTATTGTAACTGCTTTGTCACTTAGCACTTGGCTAGTATGTTCCGAAAGGAAATGCCAAACAAATTATTGCTGTTAGCCCAGTATGCTACTAAGTAATCGGTAGTAGCACATGGCCATGGGTCATGTTAGGTTTTCATGATCTGTCGTCAGATTACGAAATATTCTATTGAATTTTCGAAATCAGGAGAAAAGAATTTGCATTTTCAAATGAAATTTGGCGTTCGCATAAAATGGCCGTAATCAAAATTTGCAGACAAAGAAGATACGGGGATAAGTACCAAATAGTAAATGAAAAAAGACACATAAATAATACCAACATAGCATGAAAAACAATAGCGTGGCAGTTGTTTGGAAAGATTTCTTTCAACAAAAAACAATCATAATAGACCTTCCAAACTTGCTTGAATTAAAAATGATATGAAAGAAAATGCTAGATAACAATGATATAAACTATTTACAAATCTCTACAGTGTCCAATAGCTCTAACATTGAGACAAAAGTTAAACTTCAATTTTGTCGACCGTTGCTTCAATACACATTGAATAGCATGGTTCATTCGTCGATTCTGCCGCATTGTGATTAAGCTGAGTGTTTTGGCTTGGACGATTAATGAAAGGATATGCATTATTGATTGTGTCAGGCCACCAACTCGTCTAAAAGTGAGGCAAATTGTAGCAAGCTTATCCGAAGTAAATGATAATTATTTAATCCATTGAAGTATTAGTTAACCTGTTCTAAACCCGATGTTAACGATATACTGCTTTTCTGTATTGTTCCGGTACTTAACCAGTGATTATATGCTTCGTTTCTTGAGAAATCTGATTGCTCCCGATTTGTAAATGTCAATGTATCCAATGGACGTTGCTAGAAGTAGCTTATGAAATAGTTTAACTTCAGTGGCGCACGCCATTTCTCACTTATATTTGAAATATGTGCTTGTAGCAGCACGTGACAGCGCCAAACACAACTTCATGAAATGACTGATCCTTTTTTTCTTCAGAGAATGTAATTTCTAGATTTTGAAAATTTAAACGATAATAAAACCAACAAGATGCGATGGTACTATTCTGTTCTCATTGGTTAATGGTGTTTCATGAAATGGGGAAAATTGATAATTTGCTACATTCGTGTTTTCCCTCTGAAATATAGCTTATCCCTACTGAAATTCCAAAAAGAATATATCAAAAATTCAAATTCCAAAGTATGAAGAAAGCTTCATATGTTTTCTACTTTTTAGAAAATTTATCTTTTTTTAAATTAGATTTTCCGGAAAAGACAACTGAAGAGGAAATTCCGTCCGAAAAGGTCTTATTGGAGATGTGTTATTATCAGACATTTTCATTAATTTGATTTTGAAAATGTAAATTCTCTTGATAATGTTTTCGACAAATCGGTAACTAACTTTTGCGCACACTACGAATTTACTAAAATTTAACAATCTCCGAAAACTTAAACTTACATATTTTGCATTTACTTCTGGTGAATTATTAGTGCCTGTACTTCCGATACCGGAATCACCATCCGATACACGTTGTGTTGTATTCCAACTCTTCGAATTCTGAAATTTATAATTTAACAATTTGAAGAGATTGAGAATACTTTAGATGTAAGAATTTTCAAATTTCAAAACATCTAACCGCATTCTCATGAATCGGTGATATGCGACGAAGCTTGCGTTCATAACCAATTGGTACATTTTGGCCCATTGGAGTGATCGTTGTAGGTTGTGCATTAGCTGCTGGATAACTTTGTTCCATATTCCAGAGACGCTGTAACAAATCGAAATTTATTAATTTTAAAATTTATGACTCCTTAAAATTAAAAATTATAAAAATTAAAAAAAAAAAACATTTTTAAAAATTTCACAAAAATTCCTGATAGAAAATTTACTCGTCCATAAATTGATGATAATGCATTTGGAGTGTTCATACGAACTTCATAATCGTATGGATGCAAACCAGGATAAACAAAACGTGCAATACGAAGTTCATGTGGACCATGTGCAAACCTAAAATTGCCTTTCTTATATATTTGCAGTAAAAAAATTAATATTAAAAACTTTTTACTGCATTCTGTAGTACCATAATGCTATATGGTAATAAAATTTACAGTAGTTCAGATAAAGTATTTACTAACCAACAACGTTCACCAAATCGGCATGGTATTCCAGCGCTCCAAAAATCACATAATGCTGTCTTATACAATTCACGATTTCGTTGACTTGGCGCTTTTGGTGTACGAAGCTAAAATTTTGTTTTTTGTTTTGATTTAATTTCATTGTTTTTAGCTCAAATTTACATATTTTCTTAATGTATGCTAAATTTCGATATTATTAGAGGTAAAATAAAACAAATAATTATTGCATCATTTTAATGCTATTTAATTACTTAAAACACTTTTGCTATATTATACCATAATGCTATATTGTTTATTTCTAAGACTTATCATGATAAAAGCATTGTTAAAATTGATAAAATATTTGCACTAACATGAATTTCGGTCGGATAAGTTAATGGAACATTTTGCATTTGAGCTTTTCGAAGCATAAATTCATTGAGTAACTGTTTTTGGGTTTCCAATTTTAGTGCTGCCATTTTCTGTTCTAATGAAGCTTCATCCCATTTCAAATTATAATTCTCATATAGTCTGAATTATAAAAGAAAAAAAATAAGAATGATATGAATGGTTGATAAGATAAGATAAGTGAATTGGTCGGATACATGAACAATAAAGCTTTAAGAGATTAAACTGGTATATAGTACGAAGATACACAATTTTCTTTTTTAATATTAAACTTTCATTCTACAAAAATGATCTCACACTTAAATCTTCCCAAATATAAGACTGGAAAATTTGCAAATTTATAATAATACACTTCCAATTTGAAATAATTTCAAAAGTTTTCACTTCGAAATTTTCTCAATTTTAAACTTACGTTTGATCAGCTAATGTTGTTGATAGTAATTGTGATGGTTTAGTTGTTGAGATGCCGCTTAATTTTGGATAAAATATATTACCATCACCATTAGCAGCAGTTATACCAGTTGCCTGATCTTGTTGTTGTAAATTAGACATGTCGGGTTTTTTTTTTGAATATATTGATAGTAAATTGTTAGAGCACTTACTGCGACAGTCTGAAAAATTGAACTAAAATAATTAATTGAATTTTATGATTTAATTTGTAGAATTCCATTTAGTGATAGATCCTTCCAGCACGTTGTATTATATTCATTTATAAAAAATGATTTGTTGAAAACATGGAACCATTTCCGAATTATATATCATTTTTTGATCAAATGATAACAATTTATTCAACTGAAGAATAGTTATCGGATATTAAATCAGATATCAAATGCTAAGCTATTAATCATTTGAAAGCATTTCATATGAATTAACCAAATATTATCCAAATTAACTGATCCTAACCATTAAGAAATAAGCTATAGGAAAGAATAATAAATAAATTAAGTACCAAAGGTAAAACGGTCATATAAGGCGCGCCATGCATTATCCCGCTTTTTCCTACGATATCTACTCGAATAAATTCGACTGGAAATGGTCAAGAGTTGCAAAGAAGCATTGTCTTCCCAAAAATGCATAATTTTCAAATTTCTCCATATAAAACAAAATTATATATTTTGTATATTTGGTGCATCGTTTGTTTTATAAATTAAAAGATTTATGGCTTCAGAAAAAATTTCAAACATTCGAATGAGAACTGCTCGAAAAGTTCAATGCAAATTTATTCGTGGCGCATCTGTACGGCCAAGTATCCGATGATATCAGCTATCTAATCAGTTGCAGATTAGAAGTGTTTTAATTAACTTGAAATGAATTTGCTCAATTTCATTTCCCACAATCGTTAGTATCAAATTCATTGTTTGTCATATCAACATGAACCAGTACCTCCCAACATTCGTAAGTTTCACCTACAGTCAAGCGATCAAATGATTAAACGCAGCACAAATCTTACTTGTTAATCAACAAGCAAAAATCCGACAACGTTCTTGAATTTCTGGATTAAAAGCATTGTTCCGAAAACCGAATCTATACTGTTATCATAATGGACCCTAATGCTCAGTAGACATAAAACACTTATAATTCTATTTCTGATCATAGACTTAATTATCACCTTAAATAAGAACGTTGGGAACTACCAGTCAATCCGAAAATGGTCTTCTTGACCTGCAGGCTGCCAAGCACTAGCGGAATGGACTCTTTTACATTTCATGTTATGGATGAAAGTAGTTCATTTTCGTGTTAAAAAAACCAAAATTTTATAAACACTTATCCAACTATCAATTATACAATAACGAACATTGGATTAAAGCTACGCGATTTGCAAAAATGATTGTATTTAAGAAAAAATGGAATCCAAGAATACAACGCGAATTCAGCAATTTTCCCAGTGATTATTTAGCCAAATGCCTATTTGCACAAAAAGCAACCATTCATCACAGAAACTTAAAAGTAAATTGCCAAAGTGGAAACAGAAATTCAAGAAAAAATTACAATTTTAAACGGAAACAAAATGAGATTTCTATCGAATTGTTCCATCAACTCTTAATATTATCATCATTTTCAATTTTATCAGCCTCGTGAGTAGTTTTCTCCGAATTTGAGCTGTTATCAATTATTTTCTTCTCCTGCATCTTTGATGAAACATCTAAGGAATCCTGCTTTTCTTGTTGTTTCTCTTGAAAACAACTAGTACGATTTAAAAACCCACGATATTTTTCATCATACTCCTTCTTCATCTGTCTAATTTTGTCGCGATCTTCATCGTCTGCCAACCCAGCATTTTTAAAAATATAATCGGTTTGCGGTAATCCATACAACTCTTCTAGAGTAACTAGCGTAGACCAATGTGGATATTTTCGTCGACCACTTAGAGACACATCTTTTGTTACATCTTGTTTTGCACTGAAATTTAATTATACTTCAGTCCTATAATTTGAAAACAAGTGACAATAATTCCAAGTTAGACATTTCATACCAAGCTATGACATCCTTGACATACTTCTCAGGATCAAATGTTTTGTAATCCTCCAGCATTTTATGTATACGATTCCGGAACAAATTTTCCGCCTGAAATATTGTAGACATAAATATCAAAGCAAATTTATTCAAAATAGGACGCATTAAGCATAGCAAACCACTTAAATGATTACCCACAATCGACTTTTTCTTCATACCTCTTCTTTTACTGACTTCAAAATTTCATAATGACCAACAGATTCTGATTAACAGCTTATGCAATACAGTCCCAAAAATCCAATCCATTATTACAGATTCAGCCCTCTAAACGAAGGAACTACTATATCTTCTTTAAAAAACAAGCCCAAAATCATTTTATTACTTTGGCCTTTTTTTGTCGATGATATTTTTGATATTTAAAATAATCTCTATCATAGCGCTTTCGACGTTTATGCTTCCTCATCTTATGCCTGCGGATTTTCAACATACGTTCTCCAGCAAATATCTCTACTATCGACGACTGCTGAGGTAACTGTAAAGATATCTGAAATAAAAAGAAAATCAAAAAATAATTTTAACAATTTTATATTTTTTTTCTAGTGCAAAATAATACTGCTTGCTTTGAATCAAAGTATAAAGCAAAAAAACTACCCAAAAAACAAAAAAACAAAACAAAAACAACCAAAATACAACCTGTAATGACGGGAGAGGGTCGAATTTCTTCAAAAGCTCATTTACGAATACACCTGGTAAAACGATATGCTGCCGATTTGTACCTGGAAAAGTGAACACCTGAAAAACAAATTTATATACTGACAAAAGATCTGGCGAATACTCCATAAAATAATATGTTATTTCCATTGTTTAATGGCTGCATTTCGATAAGAGAATCATTGCTTATCACGCTTCTAATGAAAGGTTCATCCAATGCTACGAAAACAAAAGTTTTTATAGTTCATCTTCAGATATGATCTTTATTAACCTGACATAATGAGATTCCTGTGAAAAATTTAAGGGTAAAAAATAATTTAAATTAAAAAAGAATGACAAACCATTTCTTTTTGCTTACTTGGCAGTTGCCAAGGCAATTTTTGTAAAACCGCATTTACAGAGAGTATTTTTCGCTCAACGATTTCGGGATTTTGATAAGGCAGTGGTAACTGATGACACATCTGCGTTAGCTTCATCATTCGATCCTTTCCTAATATGAAGTGAACAAGTTTTGACCTTTGTTACTTACCCAAAAAATTGTAAAGAAAATTAAGAAAAAGCACAATCTTCACAAATTGAATCTGTGAAGATTATGCTTTTTCACAGATTGAAATCGTGCTATAAAATCCCTCAAAACTGTCAGCTTTCTTTTCCAAAAATGAACTATGCCCTTAAACCTATTCGCTCAACATGTCAACCCGGGAGAGTGCTCATAATGTTACATAACTGCTAATAACTTCATATAATGCTGAATAAGATAATAAGGAATACCTTCTTACAGAATTTTCAGAAATCTTAATGAATCAACAATGAAAATACCACTGAAGTTCGTGCTTTTGAAAGCGAATTGCGAAAGACGTCTTTCAAACGTGCTCCAGAAAATATTCATCCCGTGAAGCAGCTAATACAATTCACATCAATTAAGTCTTACGTTTACTGCGTAAGGCAGATTAGTATGTCCATCATCACTTAAAATCACTTATGAATCAACATTTAACTCATCAACATAAGTCCTCTGTTTAGAATACGACAATGCGAAGAAAAAACATCATATCAATCTTATCGACAACCAAATAACTATTATGAAATCATTCTCATCAATGTTGATAATTAATCTCACAATAAAAAGAAATGAGTAGAAAAGCAAATTTTACAAAGAAATAATTTCTGATGTAATTCGATTGCAGTACAGCAAACATTTCACATTATCATTTGTGCTAGAAATTTTCACGTTCACTAAAGTTTTTTTTACCGCACTCATAGTTTTAAACAGCATTAAAATCCCGATAGATAAGAATTCAAACAATAAGCCGCTAATCAACTCACCACGTTGTCGCCATACCTTTCAATCCATCTACCAGCAACTCTACTACGCCTATTGCTTTTATACAACTCGTTTACAATGACCAAAGTGTGTTTTACGAATGAAATTGCTATATCCTAACGCTTTTTTCAGGCTGTGAAATTGATATCAAATGCAATAACAATTCTAACCATTCTCATTTTATTATTTCAAAGTGTTGTATAAAATGTAAAAAAAAGTTTGACATCATAAATATTTGAAATTAAAAAAAAATCCTGTAACATTTTAAAACAATATCATTAAACAAAGGAAACGAAGAAGAGCAAAAATGAAGTTATATAATGAGAGAGAGAGAGAGAGAGAGAAAAAACAGATTCTAAGAATAGTGTCCATTTTTCCTGATCGGTGGTGATGCTTGAAGTGGCCGATTATGTTTCAAATCATATGCTTTTGTTAGTTCATATTTCTGAATTCTTTTCGCATCATATGTATCATGAAGTTTTGATTTTCCTCGATCAGTACTTTCTTCATTACCGCCATCATTTCGATTTTCATTGCTCATTCTTTTCTTATCATTATTGATATCATAACCAAGTGGTTGATTACCGGTACCTTTTGTCGGTTCATTACTATAGTAACGTCGTGCGTATATATCTGTATTTTCCGATTCATCTGATTTGGAGCCTTGTATTTTGCTACTCAAACCGTTATATGGATTTTTTGATACTGATACCTCTTTCGGTGATGGACAATGATCACAACTACCTGTTAAATTGTAAAATTTAACTTTTTGATTGAAATTGTAAATGAAAATGAAGAAATGAAAATTTCAAATATGGAAATGAAAATGAACCCTTGTTTCCCTGTGGCCCGGGAGGTCCTGGTGGTCCTCGCAATCCTGGTGCGCCACTGCTCCCTCTTTCACCTTGCTCTCCTCTCATTCCTGCAACACCGGTCCCTCCGGCAGCGCCATCTCTGAAAATTTGTTCCTTGGATAAATCTTTTCTAAGTTATGTAGAAGAAATACTTCCTTCTATCAAAACAAAAGAAAATAAAATTGATCTCCACTCACCGTCCAGGACTTCCGATGCGGCCTCGTGGTCCAATTGGTCCTATAAATACTTTTATATTCAAACTGAAAACAATAGAATATTTTCTCATGAGATTTGTGAATAGAGCTAATATGATGTGTTAAAAATTACCTGGAGGACCGCTCGGTCCGGCAGGTGCTCCGTTGAGAATGCGCCCAATATCACCTGGTGGTCCTTTCGGTCCATATGGGCCTGGAGGACCTCGAACACCAGTTGGTCCTGGTGGTCCTGTTCTTCCCGGCGGACCGTCACCTCCAGGTATGCCTGGATCTCTGAAGTTTTAAAATTCAATAAACTGACTTATACGAATTCTAGTTTTTTATTACTGATTTTACCAAATGCCGTATCTGTTTTTATGATACAGCGTATTAATGTGTGTTATGAATAGCCCAACATTTCGTCAAAAGTGATCAATTTCATCGGTGATTCTGACTAGGAAACAGAACAAAAAATATTTAAAATCATACCCCGGTGGTCCTCTCGGTCCTCGTTGACCATATAATCCCGGAGGTCCTGGTGGAGCTGTTGGACACTAAGCAAATCATTAGTATCGAACAAAATCAATTTAATTCAAAAATATATTACAATGAAGCTGTAACGAACGACTGATAAATAATCAGCACTGGAATTTTTCTAATGTTAGAGAAATGCTCCAAGAATTTTTAAATAATTGCTGTTCAAAGTATTTCATTAAAGTTGAAGAAAAATTTTCATATAAAGATTAACAAATAAATAATAATACCTTTTGACAAGTGTTTTCACTACCTTTTGGTGGAATCACATTTCTTCCAGGTTTACCATCTCTTCCCGGTAATCCCGGTGGCCCATCAGCTCCTGAAAAAAGAAAATCATTGATACAATTGTTTTTAGATTTGTTACTTTATAGAATAAGAATAACAGAATATATGATTGTTAATTTGATCAATTCATAAGCATCTTTTTAAAATCTTACCATCTCGTCCAGGATTTCCTGGTATACCTGGAAGTCCGGGTTTACCCTGTTGACAGCTGCAACCTAAAATTATCTCTCTCTCTCTCTAAAGATTTCTATAAGGAAGAATTTAACAATTGTTATACTATGAAATGAAGAAATTTTTAAACAATTTCAATTTTTCAACTTTTATCATTTGAAATTTCTCTTTGTAATTACAATTAGCTGTAACAAAAAAATTCTCTTATCTCATTTGAATATATTTTTCATAATATATTGAAATATAATAACTTAATATTAAATGAAATCATTTCAAAAATTATTTAAAATAAAACTATAATTTATGATTGATTTTAAAATATGAATTAATTAATTAATTTATCATTTATTGAAAAGAAGGAAATGAACATGTGGAATATGATCCTTCATTTATTGGTGCATTATAGAATCGACGTTTTCGTGATTGTGTAGTAAATTGAATTTGCAACACATTCCGCCAAATATCATTGCTATTAATCTGATAAATAAAAAATTTACAAATTAAATTCATTTAATGAAATCGATGAAATTTCCATTATTATTTTTTCCTCTAAAATTTGTTAAAAAGAAAATGAAATATATTTCTAATTAATCATATATTTAGTATAAAATGTATTGATTAATATTTTAAACTTTCATCAGTATTGGAATTCTCGCAACACCGCGGTAAACATTCAATCGACGAATTATTAATTTTATTTCATTTCTATTAATTTACCCAATACATGAACAAAAACTTTTACTTACATAGCATTTGTAAAGTTCTGAAAGTAATGCAGTATTGGAGCGTTGAATGTAATTAAAAAATGATGGTAAGATAATGATGATTAGGAATAATGAAATTGTTGAAAATAAAGTGGAAAGAATGGTCATCGAACGTGATGGCTCCATGATGACGATTATTTGCTATATGAAATTTATCAACAAATTTATGATATATGATATTTCAGTGGGATAAAATGTGACAGTAGTATAAATTTGCCAGCATTCGGCCGATGATTATGCTGATATGTCAATATCAGTCAATATATCAGTGATACATGCATTCAGTCAAGTATTTCGATATATTAAATTAGAAATTGATATTGTCCTAATTTTAAACATTTAAACAGTGTTTATCTTTTCTTTATACAATACATCATTTTGTAATTAACAGAAAAAGAGAGATGAAATTCTATTCTCATTTGATATATTTCAACTTCCTTCCTTTTTTCTTGATGATTAAAATAATTATCAAATATTATTTATCGATTGTTTATCACTTCATTTAATAGCTATGTTATATATAGAAATGATAAACACTGTATGTTTCAAATTAGGACAATATCAATTTCTAATTATTAATATTAATTTAGATTCCAATAATTATATAATATATAATTCAAGAAATTAAAAAGCTCTTAATCTTTTAATTTAAATCTGAGATTCAAATGTTTTTTTTTCATAACATACAGAATGTAATTTCTTCAAAGTTCCATCATGAAAAATTGGATCAATTTCAGCTTTTGACCTTTTTGACCTTAACATAACTTATCAAAATAGATAAAAGAAATCAATGAAATAGCTAATGTTAGAGAAAAGAAAATAACATTTATAATAAGTTAAACAATTATCGCTTGCTATATTTTTGAAAAGAATTTTATTTTAATTTAATGAAGTATACTTTAATTATAAAACAAAAGAAGTTAATTAAGATGAAAAATAAAAAAACATATAAATAAACTTTTAACATATTCTTCGCATCGTTTTATCTTTTGCAAATATGTATATATATATATATAATAATTGTAATTATAATATTTAAAAGGATTGCATTTCTTTTCTTCATCAAAAATGTAATTTAATTAAAAATTTAATAAGTCGAGCAATTATGCTTTTTATCATATAGTATTTTTATCATACACATATTTATCACTTTATCTTTTTGTCATTTATCATATACTACTGGAAATTAATATGATGGCATCCTTAAGTTTAATCTTTCTCATCATAAATAGCTTTTTATTTTTTTATTTTGGAAAATATATAATTAATAAATTCCGCTCAAAATTTGATTATCATTTATAAATATTATCAAAAGCATTTTTTAATCTTAATATATTCATTTCATTCTTATCAAATAAATTCTTATCAAATGAATGATTCGAAAAGATTTATTCTCAAATAATAGTTTGAATTATTAGAATAAAATAATTATTGAAATAGTAATGAGCAGAATTTCCATAATACATTAATATCCATTTCGATTAATCTTTCACAATACGTTGCACACATATACAAATGATATAATTTTGTTCAATGATAAGAATAACAAACTTAATAAGTACCAACGTATTCAATCAATTATAATATGATATAATAAATTAAATCTGATTTTAGTATTATTCACAAAAACTTTCAACAACTATGTTAATGAATGTTATTTTTCGAATGATAATATACAAAATCTGATACTGATAATGATAAGAAGAGAATATCTTTCTTCTCTTTACATTAATAACTTGCAAAAAAGAAACAAAAAAAAATCTCAAAAGTGTTAGAAAAATAAATCTATCAATTAAATAAGAAGTGATAAGCGATGATAATAAATGTTTCATTAATTAGTAGAATTGTTTCTTAAGCATTAATTATTTAATAAAGCTATAGGGAATTTAACATTTCACAAGGTTTATTATTTGTTATATCATTGAGAAGGAGTAAGCTATAGTGATAAATAGACTTTCAATCATTTTCATAATGATTGATATTATCATATCATAACAATGAAGCATAAATGATTACATTAAAATTATCAAATGACAAATAAACAATAAAACAAAACTAACTTGACAGTTACTATTTACGATATTCAGCAATCATAATAGTCATTTAGTTTTTTGAAATAAAAATGGAAAATGTTTAATTAAAAAACAATTGATAATGAGAATTGAAATAGATTTGAAATTTGCATTTCTTTAATTTTAATTATTCGTCAATTTTTATTTCTAATTTATAATTTTTTCATTTCTGATATAATATGAAATGTATGCTTTCAAAATAGTTCTAATCTATTTCAATTTATTTTTGGTAAAATGAAAATTGATAAATAAATATGGACACGTTTAATTTAACCCTCCAAAAATAACACAAAAATTATTTCATTTACTTAATTGAAATTTTGATTAATTAAAATTATTGAATATCATATGTTTGCATGAATTTATCATAATATTAATCAAATATTTGAAATAATATTCAATTGAAATTGTAAAATCATTTAAATGAATTAATAATTCTTATTTTAAACTGTTTATAATCCTTTGAAGAATAATAAAATCAATCAATAATTTTAATCTTTGATTTAATAAGGATAAGATAGATGCAATGCTCACCAGGTATATTTAATATTTGATGAAAGGAACAGCGAAATGACCTAAATTATATATTGAATCAATGAAATTAGGTAAATGCTGAATAGGCTCATCAAATGTTTGTATAAGACGACCGAAAATTCGAGTTAGGAAGATAAGAAAATCATAAACTAATTTTTGACTGAAATGACTTTCAACTTGTGAAAAACATGAAGCAAGTACACCATCTGCTACAATTGATCCTTCAACAGTCATCGGTGAATAAATACCTTTCAGATATTGTCTACCAATCTGAAAATATCATTTATCGATATTTTAATTGATCAATAATTTGATACTTTTAGCTACTATTTTATTATCATTGATATGAGATTAAAAATGATTAACATAATTAAAAATTAAAAAAAATTACTTAATTATATTAGATAATAACTATGTAACAGAAAATGATCTATACCTTTACGATACGATCCACCTGTAATTCATGATTTGATGTTACAGTAAATACACAATCACCCATACGTGCTTTGTGTGCGAATTTTGATTTCCAAAGCCATTGATCAATGATATCACCAGTATCAGACATACTTTCATGCATCTGTTTGCAATCACCTAATGGAAGAAGATGTAACTCTGTTACACTTAATTTTCGGCCTGATTCCGTCTCTAACACTACAAATTTAGCTCGAGTTTCCGGTTCTCGATGATAAAACATTTCCACTCGTTCATATCTCAATTGATTTTTACTTATCGGAACAAGAACCTGCAAAATAAAACACACATACATTTCCGGTTTTACGGAAATAATACTTTAAAAAAATTGAAAGCAATAAATAGCAAAATTATTATCTGGAAAATTTTCGAAAAGAATTTCAATCAATTGTATATTCGAATAACAAAGAACTTACAAAATCGCCTACTGAAATTTCCTTCATTGTTTTTTCACCATTTTGAGTGTAAACTTTTGTATCGGCACTAAAACAATGCTTTGATGGTTTAGGAGGGTCAACAACAGGTTGTTGTTGCTGTTGTTGTTTCTTATGCTCTGCATCGTGGCTTGTTTGATTTCTACGAGTTGGACTTGTTGATGATTGTGGTGGTAATTGTGTACTTCCAAATTTCAATTTTTCATATTTCTTTTTTTCTTCCTGTCTTTTTTGATTTTCAGTAAACGTTTTTTTCTTCAAATTAGTTGTCTAAAATAAGAGATTATTTAGTTTTTCATTTTTGAATTCTTTCAAATTCTTATTTTTATTTCTGATATTTTCCAATAAAGTTTCAAAACAAAAAAAAAAACAAATGTAATTATTGAAAGAATTAATTAACAGAAACCTGTTTAGAATTGTTTTTTTTATCAGTAGCTGTTTGATTTACTGATATTGCTAGTTTTTCTGCAATAATTCAATATTTTCAATTTAATAAATACTAAACAATTCCGTAGCCCTTCACTCGATAATTTCTTTTTCCCAGATTTTCATATTGAATTCATAATATCTGCGTGGGTGGTGAATTTGCAAAAATTTGCTTAATTATTTCAATCTTATTTAAAATTTAAAAATCAATGTTGCAATTGTTTGAAATTGCTGCAGAAAAAAAATTTTTTCTTGCATCATTCCGAAAGATTACACTATTCAATCAATCAATCAATCAATCAATCAATCAATCGGCAGATCACATTGTTCAATAATCCATCTTCAGCATTGCGTATCTCCCAAAAAAAACGATTTAGTTTTTACTGCAAGTCTAATTTTAAAGTAATAAATATTATACGAATCAATCGTTGGTTTAATTTATAATATCCAAAAATGCATAATATAGCATTTTAATGTATAAAATAAATTTTGAAATCAAAAAATATATCATATAATATAAAGGATGCAATGAAAAGAAAATAATAAAATTCAAAAGAAAATAGAACTTAACAATAAAATAATTTAAAGTTGAAAAAGGTTGTATAAATCAAATTTAACAAAAAGCAAAATAACACATTATCATTGCTAAGCTTATTAAAATATAATTAAGAATTATATTTTAGCTAATTTAAATTTTAAATTTAATTCGATCAAAGGAAAAAATAAACATACATCCTAATTTATAATTTAACTCATCATTGATGATAATATGAAATTTTCAATTCATAGGAAAAAAATAATAATTTCACTTCAAAGCAATATTTGTAAGTCAAAAATATGAAATGAATACGATTAGTTCTATAACTTAAAAATTGCAATTAATGGAATTAATACCTTCGGGTAAGTTTGTTTTTGCTATTAAATTTTGTTTCACTTTAACACCTGTTTCTTCGACTAATACCTGCAAAATTCAAATAAAGAAAAAAAGAGTATTGCGAATAAAATTTGAGAACTAAAAAGTTGCTAAAACGGAAATGATATATGATATTTGCGCATTTGCAATAAGTCTCAGCAATAATCTACATGATGATATTTATTTAAGGCCCCGTATCATCTCTATCTAATATGAATATCAAATTTGAACAATTGAAGTATCAATAAAATGATTGTTAGATACTGAAATAATGATCAATGAAATCAAAGGTAACTAACTATAAGAAGCTTATAGAAGTTAGGAAATTGATAAAGAAGGAGTTTAAAATAAAGATACTGAAAATGATGATCAATGAAATTATAAGAAGCTTATAAAAAGTTAGGAAAGAAAGAGTTAAAAATAATAACACTAAATTACAACAAATCGCTTAATTCCTTAGTTTAATCTAACTTTAAAATAATTTTAAAAAAAATTTTAAGAATTTTAATTTCTGAAAATACCTCTTATGATTCACACAAATAATCATTTTCTGTTTTATTTACATTTTTCACTTACTATTTTTTTCGTAACTCTTTTAATGTTGTCGAAACTACCATTATGACCTCGATCTTCTTTTATTGTTGCGGTGGTTGAAATAATGGGAAAAATTGTCGTATGATTTGTTTGAGTCTTTAAATTACTTCCATCACCTATGTATTTATAAAATACATTAAATTCTTGAAATTTTGTAAAATAATTTAAAAGAAAGAAACAAACAAAAAAAAGTTAATTGAACTGTTTAAAATGAACACTTACAGTTAATTGACAGTCTTTTCAGTTAAGCAATTTTGACAAATTTTCTACTTTCAAATTCTTTTACGAGTGTTATTTATTTTCAAAAATTTCAATTTTACATTCCGAAAAAAAAAATTCATTAGAAAAATTTAATTAGCAGAAAAAAACAATAATACCTCGAACAGTAGTTGTTGTTTTAGTTGTTTTGGATCTACCTTTAGTCACATTTTTCGTTTCTTTCGATCGATTAGCAAATAATTCTTCTTTCCGTTTTGTTTCATTTGCTTTATGAGGAATTGATTTAGATTTTAAATTTTCCTGATTATTCAATCCGGAAAATTGTTGTTTTTCCGGCAATAATTTTTTTTTACTACCATTATTGGAAAATTTTTCCGAATGTTCTTTTAACTTTCCTTCTTTTCGCGAAACATTTTTTTTGTTCATCACTTCAGTACTATCGGATTGATCATCATCATCATCATCATCACAATCACTAGAATCTTTCGTTTTATCAATTCGACGATTATCTTTCTCTGTTCCATGAACGGACATTTTATTATCTTGTGATTTTTGTTGACCTAAAAATAAATATAATATCTCAGTTAATTTGCAATATTTAATTACCCTATGTCAATAGGTGTAATTTTAATTTGCCACACTTCAATTTCATCATTTGAAATATAAATAGAAACAATGCTATTTTATTTAACGATAAACTCAGAAGTATTCCTCATACAGTATGGGTCAAATTAGCAAATTTACCTCAAAGATATTTCCTTCTTGTAATTAAATACAGTAATATTTTGTAGAAATGTGCAAATTAGAAAATTAATTAATGCTAAAATATTAATTTCAATGAAATTAATAAATTAATCTTACATTTAATTGATATTTGCTATTTTATTAACTTACCTTTTCCAGTGTTAGTTTTAATTTTATTATCAATTTTTTGATGAATACGATCTCGATGACCGATTCCTTTTATCCCATATAAATCATTAAATTCAATTCTCCGTTCGGTGCTCCATTCTGACCATCTAAAATTATACAAAAATAATTTCTTTTCATAAATATGAAATTGCTCATTAATCATTTAATCCTATCTCATTTTGATAACATTTCGCTATGGATAAGTAACAATTAGTAGGCTAAGATAGTTATCAATTAATAGACTATTGATAAGTAGCAATTAGTAAGCTAAAATACTTTATAGGTAGTTGATACTTTACAGGTGCCAAAATAAATGGGGTCAATAGATCAAGATAAGTGCTATTGCCTGATCAAGATAAGTGTTACTCTCTGCTACCGTGTGATTATAAGATATGAATGATGAAATTATTCCTCTTAATAAAGAATTCATTGTAATTTTCAATTCAACATTTTTAGGCTTAAGCTTGATTCGGATCATAAACTTATTAGAATATCCATTTGTTCAATTGATCATTTTCATATATTACGTTTACTCATGGAAAAAATTTTGTTGACAACTAATCCCTCTTGCGTTAAATATTTTCTTCGATTATTTCTCAAACATTTTATGTTTGTTATTAATTTCAAATAATACTAATAAACAAATTGCAAAATTTACATTATTACTAAATGAAAAAGATATTTAAATTTAATTGGTTTTTCTCAACATTAAAATTAGATTATTTAAGAATGCATATTTCATCAATTGAATTAAAACGAAAGATATAAGATAGTTTAACTTACTGTTTAGAGGACCATTCTGCCCAGGTGGCAACAAACCATTGTTCATTATTGGTCAAATTTCGTAATGTAAGAATAATTCGATTCAAATTACTATCATCGATAATCGGTTTTTTTTCATTCAAATCTATATCAGGGATTATCTTCGCCACCTTTTCAGTATCATTTTTGCATTGTATACTACAAATGGTTACCCGATAGCCAATCCTAAATGTAATTAATTGTTTCAAATTTTGAATTGTTTGTTTGAAATTTTGAAAATTGAAATTTATTTTCGATTAGCGGCAGTAGTTTTTTCATCAAATAAAAAGTATAAAAAATAATCATTTTGAAAGTGCTTTTAAATAATTAAACTTTCATGTTTCTTCAAGGATACTGACAATAATACATGATAACCGAAGAGATTTCAATTCGGGATTTCTCTCCGAAATTAGTATCATTTGCCCTCGAGATTTCTCCCGGGATAACATTAATTCATCATAAATGCTTCCCGAAAATATCAAACTATTTTAAGGATTACGAAAATTTGTATGTATTATTGTTAATTTAAATTAAAAAGCCTACTCATTTCGCTCAACACCTTTTATCACAAGTTGTGATGGCTCTTTTTTACGTAGTAAATAATGCCTGAGGCGATAACCAGAAAAATCCGCAAATTGATCCGATACTTCATCAAAATTCTTCAATAATGCATAGCCTTCTTTATCTTCCTTTTCTAATTCTTCAGCTGTCGTACCATTTGAAGCATCCGGTAAATCATACAGAAAACAATCATTTTCCGTACGTTTTATTTGTACATCCTCATTAATCGTTAAATTACAACATGTATGTATCACTCTATAACATTAATTTTCATTAAATTCAATTAGTTTCAAGCAAAAATTAAAAGTTTCTCTTGTTTTACAATAATAATAATTATTATTATAATTATAATTATAACGATAATAATAATATTGATGTAAGGAAAACTATTACAATCATATTTCAATATTTGGCTAAAATGCAAAAGTTAAGTTATTTATTAGAATATTTAGTTTTAATTTGAATGGATAGAAGAAATTAATTTTAATGATATCTAAGATCTGTTAAAATTTCAATCGAAATGAAAACTCCATTCAAAAATCTTTAAATTCATGATAATGTTTTGTTTATTTTAGTATTTCTTTGTATCTTTTTATTTCCTACCTCATTTTTTCCCACTCTTTTATTTCATTAACACTTCATATATTATTCATTTAGTTAATTAAAAGAAATGCCGCAGCAAATTTTGAGGTTCTATGACTAATTTTCAAATCTTTAACTAGAATTTATGTATTAAGGATATGGTTGTTTTATCAGTAGACCAGGCCTAGTGAATATAGGTATCATTAATTATATGCTAATAATGAATGTAATCAACGAGTAAACATACGGTGCAATAGGTGTTGCCTGTTGTATATGAGAAACAAAATTGGTTTTTCCACCGCAATATGATTGTAAATGATTGTAATGGCATTTCTGTAATTATCCAACTGGCAATAATGTAAAAATAAGAAAAGTAACGAAAGATAAATGAGTTTGAAGTGATGCTAAAAAAAATTTCTATTTTTCAAAAATTTGAAAAGAATTTTTCCTTTGATTTAAAATGTTAAAAAAACAAAGAAATGGAATTAGTATTGAATTCGATCTAAGTACTTTTAAATATTCAACACTATTAATGATATGTTAAAATAGCAAAAGATATCATTTTTATCATCAACAATGGATGATCAGAAAATGGATAAATTAAAGATAGTTCAAATTTGCTCCTTATAAAATAAATGATAAAATTTCATATTATACTGATAATATGAAATGTACCAAAAATCGAAGACCACAAAGGGTCGGTTTTTGACAATGCATCCGAATGGTATCATTCCCAAAATTTTGTACCACAATAATTTGATCATCATCGCAACGATATGTTATCGTTACTGAATGTTTTATCAACAGTGATAATGATAAGAAAAATACCAATGACTTCATCAAAAATTATCTGCTTGCTTTATTGACACCCGATTTATAAAAAAATATTTCACCTAAAGTGATTAGACGCTGATAAAGTTTCATAGAAGATTTTGTTGATTTTATAAGTGTAGCATGCATAATAGTTAGCGCAGCAATAATAAGAATAAAAACAATTATAACTAATAATAATAATTAATAATAACAATGATAATAATAAATGCTCATTATTATAATAAACTTTTTAATTACTTTTTTTAAATTCATAACAAAAAACATTAAATAAATTTGTAATATTAAGTATGAGTTTCTAGACGATTATAAAAGTGATAAATATTTAATCTTTATCTTTCATAATTACTATTTTAATTTTAATTTCTCTTTTTACTATCAAAAAGATAAAGTTTCAATAATAGTGATAAGAGAGAGTAATAAATATTCATTAATACTAATGTTTATTCTACAACATATACAAATAATGGTTACTTCAAATAAGACTTTAACATTTTGAAACAAATAGTTAAACAAATAGAAAAAGAAGTCTTGACAGTTTCATTGTTGATTTGCTGAAATCTATTATTACTACTAATGGCAGCTGAAGACGAGTTGGATCCGTGAATTTAGAAAATGAATAATTGTTACCAAACTCATCCGTTCCATCATTTTATGTACTATGTTTTTGTGACACGTAGAATTTTAATGTCCTATCTTTTCAAATTTCTGCTCTAAATCTTATTTTTGACCTCATCATGTTTTGTTTGAAGAGATGTATTTTAGTCGTAAAAAAAGCGGAAGAAAAATGTATTATTATTATTATTATTATTATTATTAATTCCACAAAAAAAAGAGAAGAAAGGCGATATATACGGATAATGAAGCCGGTTGGCACAATTCAACCTCATTTCTGCAATAAATTGTTGCAACGGTTTAAATGAATCTTGAGTATTTCATTAAGAGATACAGTAAATCCGTTAAATTTAAAATATATTTCAATGTTTAATTATAGCTATGAAATAAAAAAAAAATGACATATTATAATCTAAATTGATTATATTTAATATATTCAATATAAAATGTTATTTAAAATTTTTAATAGCTAAAACGAATTATAAGTTAAATGAGTTTTAAATAATAATTACCACACAGTATACATTGGCTATAAGTTAAATGAGCTTTAAACAATAATTACCACACAGTATACATTGGCCATAAATTAAATGAGCTTTAAACAATAATTTACCACATAGGATGGCACATTTTGTAGTAATTTAATTTTGGATTTTCATTCAATCACAAAAAGGAAATTTAGCTAATTCGAATGTTTCCCTTCCATTGTTCTTTTAATTGTAATTTAAAATTGAAATGATATGAAAAGGTATTTTACAACGCTTAATAATTACTTGCTAATAACTTTTCATAAATTAAATTCTTTAGAAATTATCAAAAAATTCGAAAAAAAGAATATCTTTGCATCGCTCGTATAAAAGTGATTTTTTTGAATGAAAGAAAGAAATTTCGAAATAAGAGGAAAAAGATTAATTTCGATGTCGAAATTTCGTAGCATTGATAATAATAATAATAATAATAATAATAATAAATAAATAAATAAATAAATAAATAAATAAATAAATAAAAATAATAGCAATAGAAATAATAATAATAATATTGATAAGAAATAAAAATAATAGCAATAGAAATAATAATAATAATATTGATAAGAAATAATATAATGATAATAATAATAAATAAATAAATAAATAAATAAATATATAAATAAATAATAATAGTAATAGTAATAATAATAATAATAATGATAAGAAATGATAATAATGATAATAACGATAAGACAAAGAGGAAGATTAATTAATAGCAATAACAATGTTAATAACAACAATAATTTTGCTTAATTAAAACAGTAATGATTGTAATAATTTAGTGATGATAAGAATTGTTTTAAGAAGCAAAAAGTATAGTTAATATTTTGTTTTAACCATCTCTATTTAAAGAATATCAACCATAGCAATAATAATAATAATAATAAATAGCGCAAAATGTGTGAAGGCCTTATTCATTCACTACCAATTGCTTCTTTCATCTCTAATATTTCACCTGTATCCTTTTAAATAACCTTTAGGATATGTCAATGTAAACATATCGTTGGAATATTTCATTCTTATTTACCTTCTCTCAATATGCCCTCGTTCATCCATCAAATTAGCATTTTTGTCCTCAATTTTAATCAATTATTCTTTTCACTCAAATTTTAGTCATATCTATAAATATTTTCCATTGCTCAAAAAAATTTCTATAAATAGTAATTGATGATATGATAAGGGAAAAAATGATAGCAATATCTTCTATTGATAAATTTCACAAAACAATTAAAGAATAAACAAACAAATAATGAAGTGGCAACAAAAAAAAAGTTTATATTCTTTTTTTTTTGTGAAAAATTCCTACTTATTATTTGTTGACAGCTGAGGTAGAAGAAAGAGAAGAAGAGGAAGAAAAAAAGATAAGAAGGAATTTGCCATAATGGAGATGTTAAATGAGAAGAGAACAATAAGTGGGCGATAGGAACTTTTTTGGAATGAATGAATTTGATGAGATCGCCTAAAATTCATTTACTTCGTTTCCATCTATTTTCTTCCAGGATTAATTTTCAATTGGAAGAGTTTTGAATTTAAATTTTATAATTTAGAATTTATTATTAATAAAAAAGGTTTTGATATTTTATTAATATTATGCTAATAATTTAAATTAATTGTTTAAACATATTTGAAATTAAAACATTTCATTCCTTTTTGTTTTTATTCCATATTTTACAATTGTTGTTAAATTGATGAAATTATTTCATTAGTAAATAAAGGATTGAATTAAGTTTATTTACCTTTTATTCATTTCAAATTTCATTACTAAATTTATCTCTCATAAATTTGGCATGTGATAAGTGACAGACGAATAATTGGGGAAGAGAATTTTTTAAAGAATTTTAAGAATTTATTTTATAAAAATATTATCGTTGTTACGGCAACATTAAAAGCAAAATAAGAAAAAATGATAAATTTGTTTGTTTTATTTTTCCTTAAAACAATAATGAAATTATCCAAAATTATACTTTTATCGATGATTCATAACAAATAGAATTTAGAGTTAATTTATAGACAAAGGAAAATTATTACTTTAAATAGATTATTTTAAAATTCATTAATTTTATCAAAAATCAATTAATCGATCATTTCAATAATAAATAATATGTTGTAACTTAATTAATGATCAATTAATTTTTAATTGTCACTAAAACTAAGTGTTTACTTTACTGAGTATAAAATAGAAATGACTGACAAAAGAAATAATGAATGAATGACTCACAAAGGTATAATTCAAAAGTACAGAAATGAAAAATTAATATTCTCAAATGCAGGATTGTAAAATCGGAATGGAAAAAGAGAGAGAGAGAGAGAGGGAGGGAGAGAGAGTGAGAAGAAGAGAGAGGAGGACAATGTAATATTTTAAAATTGTTGAAAGCTTTTTTACTCTGTCATTATCTGTAATAAGAAAATATTGCTCCAATTCTTAAATAGCCCAAAGGAATGGAAGTTTTTTAAAAAAGGATTGTTCTCTCTCACCTAATTCATACCGATTACCGTTTAGGTTATTATATACTTTAAGGATAAAATAGGACAGAAAGGTCACAGAGGGCAATTTACTTTCGATTACATTATTATAGATGAAACAATGAAAAAATACTAAAAATGGGACTGCAAATACGAAATTACTCATTTTCCATTAAAGAAAAATTTGTGAAAGAATTTGCTGTGACCCTGCTATGACCTATTTGTTTTGATTGCTTTTTCATAAAAGGAATTTTGGTTAGTGGATGAAAAAGTATGAAATTTTAAGAGAGAATTAAATCAACGAAAAACTTCTTTTTTTTTACTACGAAACAAATCATTTATTGATGGCCCCAATTAATGGATAATACAATATATGTTTGAAATTTTGGTTGAAAAAATTTGAAACTACAAAATTAAAAAGAAAAGGAACATAATGATTGATAGGAAAGGATGGATATCGTAATGATATGGAATAAAATTCATTGATATGAATGATTGATAAATGAGAAGTTCAAAGGTGAAAGAAGCTGAAAATATTCTCTACTGCAAATTAAACAATTTCGATGATATGAAATTTATTTCGCTAAATTTAAATCTTCTTAATTTAGCAAAAATTAATTAAGATCAAATTTTTTAATGGTTCAAATTTTTAACAAAAAAGAAAGATAGTTAAATTAAAATAAGCAAGAATAAAAATAAAATTTTTTCTCGTTTCGATTGAAAAAGAAAATCATCTATCTCAAAAGTATTTTATCAGTAAACTACTGATAAAATTATTTAGAGCAAAATTTCAATTCAAATGATTTGTTTGTAGTAATTAGTTTAATGGATAGCTTTCATTCAAAAAAAAAATTATCAGTAATTTGCATTCTTATCAATTCAAAGAAATGAGATGAAATTTAAGAAGAAAATTAATCATTCAACAAAACAATAATCGTTAATTATCGATTGAAAAAACTTTAAAAAGGAATTCATTGTTCCATAAAGGCTAATTGAAGAGTGGTTAGTTTTAGTTTTTTTCCTAATTTAAAATTTTCACAAATTTTACAACTCCAAATAAGCTAATTAATTCATTAATATAGATTAAAAAAGAATTCTTAATGAGTGTTAATGAATTAATGAAAATTAATATTGCTTACTTATTGAAACGAATTTTTCTAATCAAAATTTTACATTTTAATTTAAAATCTATTTAATTTGACATTTTGCTAATTTTACAACTATAATATAATATTATAATATATGGTGGAAAATCTATGATATTTGAAATTTTCGAAATCTGTCAATAACTATGAACGGAATGAAACGAATCTTAAAATTAGCAAATGTCGAAAAAATATCATCAAATATTATTGCTCGAATAATACTTTTCACTCTCATTTTCCAACTTATGCTTTGTGGTGCTGCACTTATTATTAGCATATATAGCTCATTAAGATTTACTGCATATTAGTAAGTATATCTGTTAACATATTATCATCATCATTATCATTATTATTATTATTATTGCTATTATTAATATTATCAATTAATATTTATTTCCATCTTTATCATTATTAAATGCTATTATAAAAATATTTTTGTTTATTTTATAGTAAAATATTACCAAATTTTATGCAACGTTATGGTTTATTTTTGAGTGTTTTCATTATTGATTTATATGCAACATTTATAACAATTATTGCATTATTTCGAATTCATAAATTTTGGTAATTATTTTGTTTTTCTTAATTTCTCATTTTTAAATTTAAAATTTATCAAAAATTTTTATTAAGCTAATTATTAATTACAAAATATTATTTAATAAATTTACTATGTAATTTCAAATTTTAATTTCAGTTTTATAGAAGCAACAAAATTATTGGAAAATTTTTTCGATTTAAAACTGTTAAAGTATGAATTACTTACATCAACTATAGCAGTCTTAGGATGTGCATTTATCCTATTCATTTTATGTCATAGTTGGCAAAAGCCTATTCGTAATAATATACTTTATGCTATAAAGAATGCTATCAGTGATAATGATTATGCTCAGGTGAATGTTTTATTTTGTAAGCTGATCGAAAATTCATTTTATCTTATGAAGACTTTCTTTTTTTTGATATGATATCAGTGATACTTGCAGGATATTAATATCATTCAGCAAAGATTTCAATGTTGCGGAGTTTCGGTGAAAGGTGCCGAAGCGCATCTCATTTGGTTACATTATCTATCACCCGATATTGCTTTCAAAGAAAATTTATACAAGTAGATTTAACGCATTAAATTTAGAACACACTTTATCAATTGTATTACACAATATGTATGCATAATTAGTAAATAATTTATACTATAAGAAAATAAAAATGCTACGAATAGTTTAAATATTGAATAAATGGAAACTATTTAATTATTGATCAATATTTACGATTTATTCTTTTAAATATACTTTATAAAATTAATATTCGATTAATTAATTTTGAAATTTTAGAGTGGCAACAATTTTAATAAAATAAAATAAATTAATCGACTAATTAACCAATTAATTAATTTAAATTTAATTGAATAAAATGCATTTTTACTTTTTCATTCAATCACTGATACAAGTAACTATTTTAAAGTATTCCAATTCATATGATCATTATAGTTATTTTATTCAATCAATTTTGCTAATTATTTTTTTTACAAATTTAGTGAGATGAATTCATTGCCATGGTCATGTTGTCGATCAAAATATCAATTCCCATATTGTGAACAATTTGCATATGAACGATTTGTTGTACCTTTCAATGAGACAAACTTTCGTCGAATACCAAATTATGCTAGTCGATTTAGAAAAAATTGGGTATGGATAATTAAGATTTAAATAAAAAATGATAAGAATATGATAAGGATTGCAATAGACTAAATGTTATTCTAATCACTTATAGCATTTCTTTCCAATTTTGATTAATTTTTTTTCAAACTTCAAAAAATTCCAATAAATCTTAATTCTCATTAACTAATGAATGATAAATGGAAGAAATGATATAATGATATAAACGATATATAATCAAATACTATAAATAAATAATTCATCCATTCCATCTACCCTAAAATTCATTCTATCAACTCTAAATGTACTAAATTCGACAATATATAATTTGGAATAATGCATATAGCTTGATTTCTTTTTATATTGTAAGTTAAGAATTAGAAAAAGACTCGTAAATATTTTTTTGCGATAATATTAAATTGTAAATATGGAATAAATAATTTTACCTGGAAGATATTTTGCGTGATATATTTACATGATCGTATATTTTCGCATGTTACGTTATAATAATATGAAAACTACGACGTATCCACGACAGTATTCAATACATGTAATATCCAATATATTTTATTTCATTAGCAATTAAACGTCAAAAAAATTTTCAACTTACTTTTTCTATTACCATATAATTATAGGGAAAATTAAAAAAATGATAAACATATTTCATAGCTACAAAAATTTCTAAAAATTTTCATTTAATATTTACAACTTTTGATTAAACAATTATTAAGTGTAAATCATTTCAGGGATGTACTTCATTAAATGATTGTAAACAAAGGCGAGATGTGGCATTAAATTCAGTTTATAAGAATGATTGTGCTAAAGCTTTTTATGAAGCCTTTAAGAGAGGATTTTTTTATTTAAATGGTACCACATTATTTATTTTAGGTAAATCTATAAAATTTCCATATCCTCTACATACAACAATTATATCTAATATTTTCCAGATTTTTTTCAATCTAGAAAAGTAAACAGATCACCTATATCTATTATATAATATCATCTCATAGCAGTTCATAATGAAGAATGTTTCCTTCGCTTTTTTTTTACCATTACAGAAAAGTTAAATTTAATTTCAGGTGCATTTATCGTTTCCTTCTAATAATGTATAAATGAACCTTTTACCAATATTATTGAAAACTTTCCGGCATATCATATAATCTTCTGAATTCATTATTCATTACGCTTTTTTTTGCAGGATTATGTATGATTTGTGGACTAATCATGATTAATTATCTTCAAATAATTCTTTGAAATAATAATCAATTTTATGATTGTTACTTCTTTTTTGTTATAATATTATGAATAAATTGTAATTAAAGTAAACTTTTGTTTTGATACCAAATAATGCAAACGATTGAAATGAGAATGTAAACAACAAATTTAGGAGAGTTTCTTTTAATTGGTAGAAACAAAATAACAAAACTATATATGTTGCAAAAAAAAATATAAACAAATATGTACACAATTTTGTAAATATTATTACAACTTCAATCATAACTGTCACATAAAAAAAAGAAGCAACAAACACTTTGCTATTTTCAAAGTAATTTAAGAAATAAACGATTGGTATAATTGAGTATTTCGCTGCAAATAAGCACTCTCAATTTCTTTATTCAACATAATAGCTATTTTATGGGTAAAACAATCATTATTCATCAATGCGAAATTTTTGCAGAGTTAATTAATGAGGAATAGTGCTGTGAAATATTTTAGTAATTTCAAAAATAGAAGTAATAGAGTAAAGCGAAGAAGTTTGCAGCATAAGAAAGTAAGAATGATAGTTTTAAATGATTAAAACAATTTCTTCAGCTCAGAAAATAAAGAAAGAATTTCTTTTTCCTCTTTTCTTCCCTCTGTTATGTTTAGAGACAAATATTTCCCATTTAAAAGGAGTTCATTAATCGCTTGTTATTCATGATCAATTTTTAATTTTATTTCATACCTAGCAAAACAAAGATAATCCGTACGTTGGAACACGTTAATTTCTTTCAAGTTTATGCTAATACGCTAGCATATACCTGAAATCGTTATACATTTCCTAATATACTAAACGAATCAGTACTTTAATGGCAAGAAAACTTCAACGAACAACTAAAATGTAACGCCTTATAGGAAATGCATAACGTTGAAGCTTTTTTTTTGAACAAAAAGATTTTAAGCATAAATTTGATTTCAAATTAAAACAAATTAATTCAAGAATATTATGGCACTTTCAGTAACATCTGAGTAACCTGTAAAAGATATTTGACATGCCAGGATAGATCATTATGAAATGAAATTTATGAAAATAAAAGAAAAATGCTAAACTTCATAGTTTACCATTTGAGCAGCAAAAAGAAAAGGAAAACTTCAGTAATTGATGAAAATTAAAACATTTAAAAGAAGGAAAATTCCATAAAAAGAACACTGTACAAGAAAAACGAAAAAGCCTCTTTTCGGTAAGCCTTCTTTTTTACTATTTTAATCTTTAGCATCATAAAATGTAACAATTAATTAGGTAGTTTTAGTTATTCATCAATTAAAACTTCAAAAACTTTTAAGTTTCAAAAAATAAAAACAATTAATATTTTAAAATCTAAGAACATTTGATGAAAATTTGAACATCTTACTGTTGCTATCGTTATTTCGTCTTACAATATTACTGCTAGAGGTAACTTTAGTTGAAAGAAGTGGTGAAGTTGAATGTTGTGGCCCGACCATATTAATCGGAATTTTACTAGAATTATTTTTAACATTAACTTGATGATTTTGATCAATTGGTGTGGTAGAAGTGAGAACATTTATCTTTGCTGTATTCTTGTTACATGACAAATTCAAATGGAAACGACTGTTCTGAAAATATGATTAATTTACTTAACTGATAAATTTCTAATTTAATAATCATTCTTGTCTTCTGAGCAAAGAATGGTTTTTCTAAGGAACAGAAAAAAATTTTAAGCTACTTTGATAATGAATTAAAATTATATTTAACAGTAATGCAAAGGAAGTAATCTCATCATCCATTGCGAGATTGCTAAATATGAACAAAAATGATAGTGAAAAATCATTACAAGCAATCAGTTAACTTTTTCAGTTTCTGTGCTAATAAAACTTGCAACATATTATAAAAATTTGACCCTTTTCAAAATTTTAAATTTAGAAAATACAAAAAAGTCCTTTTGAACAATCATATTTAAAATTATAAACAAAACTAACATCTAAAGAATCTTCGGTAACTGCTGATAATGAATTATGATGAATATAATTATTCTTAGCACCTCTTTCTGTACGTTCGTTTACCTGTGAAAAACTAATTATTACGGTTTAATACTTCACAGTAATGCCTTTCTCAAAATTTCCCACTTCTGAGTGAAATAAATTAAAAAAAAATGTATCAAACTCTTTCATCAACATTTTTTCAGATAACTAATACCGAATGGAAAATAAGCAGGAAATTACCATATGATCCACTTGGGTGTTTTTGGACTAGAGATTTTGAAATCTTCTGAACCGTCCTTTTAAATCACCGGAATGATTTCATCTCACTCACCCGTAAGACATATTCAATCTTATTCAAACGGTCGATAATTGTGAGATGAATTTTTACTAACATGTTATTATGTTATTTAAATATTATTAATTTCCATACCTGCATTTCAACAAATGCATCATTAACCCGCCTCTTCACTAAATCATTGGTTTGTTCTTCGCTTGAGCCGCGATTTTGTTGTTTACAGAGTGAGGCTGGTACTGGTAAATAAGTTTTTTCATCGAATAAACGAATCTAAAGAAATTTCAGATTCAGCTTTAACAAAAATGAAATTAAGGATGGAAGAATTTGCAACAGTTTTAAAAATCGGATATAATACATAGAAATTAAATATAATATTTTTAAAGTGAACTTCACGAAATTATTTCATAACATTCCGAAAAGAAATTCAACAGTCACACATAATTTCATTTGTTTGAATAATTTTTACAACAGTTCTTTTGGAAAGGTTACCTCACATGGTGGTCCAATTAGTGATAAAAGTACTGGCAAAAGCACAAGTCCATTAATGAGACCAATTAAGATGAGAGCTGAGAGCACAATAAAGAAATATTTTACAATAAATTCAAATTCCGAAAACGCTAACATTATTATACCTAAAATTTGAAAAATAAATTAGCATTTTCATTTCTCTTTCCAAATTCTAAGTTATTGCCAGTCTTCTAATTAAAATATTAGCATATATGATTAGATTATTAAATTATAGAATGTCATTAGCAGTTTTTTAAGACTAAATACCGTATAAATTGTAAGAGAAAATTTGCAAAAAAATCACGAATAATTTTTACGATAAACAAATGTTTAAAATAGCTAATAAAATAAGAAAAAGCAAAACCTAAAAGAGTGGATAATCCGCCATGTACCACAGGAATAAACATATGATTCAAGCAAGCTGCCATTCGTTCATCCTTACTACCCAATGATGTTAGATATACTAGCACAATATGCACTGTAAATTCCACGCCTAAACATTGTAAATGAGCTATGAAAAAAAAATATTTGTAAATAACTTATGAGAAGAATACAGACATATTTTAAAAAAGTCTAAAAGAAAATGTTGTCAGTTTTTAGTTCGCATTCAAAAGAATAGAGAGAATTGGTGAGAGAAGAAAATCATATATATAAAAAGAAAGAAAAATAAAACTTTATTAAAAATTATCAGTAAAATTCAAACATAAATGTTTTATAATGATATAGTTTTAGTCAAATTTTGACATAGTCAAAATTATAATAACATAACCAAATTTCAAAGCAATTATTAGTTCATTTTTGAATAAAAATGAATTCAAATGAAACATACCAATTCCAACAGCAGCAATCAGTGTAACAGCGCTAACTGGATTAAGCTTGACACCAGTAGCACCCATGAAACCTGCCAATTCCATGGTCATCGAAATGACAACAACTGTTACCATCATAGCCGCCCATGGATTAAAAATTAATACTGAGATGACAATAAATATTGCACTAGTAATTACACAAATAGCAACAAGCAAATTCCATCTAAAAAAATAAAATAAATTCTTTCATCTGCAAAATCTGAGCCTTGGAAAATCGTGCTAAATTATTGCAACACCACATCTATTTTCTATCAAAACAAAACATTTTGAAAATGGGATTTTTTTTTTTGAATGACAAATCATTGAAATTATCAAAGAAACTCTAATATAATCAGACTAACTCATTTTTTTACATTTTCTTTTCTTGCTCTCAAGAGAGTTTAGAAGTTTAGCTAATTTTAATCAATTACATTTTTTACTCTTAATTTCTATTATAATTAGAAAAAATATTTTGATCTATTGTAACCTTAAACTGAGATATTGCTCCCAGAATATGAATGCAATACCGCTTGGGAAATTTGGTAAGCCCAGTTTTTCATATCGATCGCAAACACTTCGAATTTCCTGCAAAAATAGTTGATTAGTCTTACGTATTTTTGATAAAAATTTGATCCTCTGCTATTAAATAACATGACTTTTTACAAGGAATCATGTAATTTATGAGTATTAAGTATTATATTTGGCAATCCATGACTTTGTAGTTGTAATTTGCAGTATAATAAATTTTCCCAAATATAAAAACAATAAAGCTACCATGAAAATATAAAACTTTCATAAAATAAATAAATAAAATTGAAATTTTATTAAATTCATAAAAAAGTAATTCCCTGTCATTCCGCTAAATTCTTTATGCAAAGTAAAAATAAACACCTTACTTCTATCATTTTCACAATCACAGGAGTATCGATCAAATCAGTAAGATAGAACGGTATTTGACTGTAAGCTGGTGGTAATGCTGGAGGAACAAGTTTTTCATGCTGCAATTCATCATTTAAAATAATTAAATGTCAGGTCCAAAATTCAATTTCCGTATATATAGGTTATATTTTATTTTGTAAAATTAACCGCGGTCAATGCCCATGGAGGAGGCGCAGGATAAAATGAAGCTTGTGAAACGTAATACATCATGCTATCAAGATTATACCATGCAGTCAAATAATTATAAAAACCGTCGGCATTAATCAAACCAGCATCATTGACCAATTTTATAGTGCTAACCTAGAAATAAATTATTTCAATTGATATTAAATAGCTTACATGAAATTCATTAATTGTTTCCGTGCCAAAATATGACAAATATTAATTGACTTACTTTATAAAATTTATCAAATAAATTCAGTACAAGAGCGTTTTCAAAATTTAACATAAAAAATAACTGATGAATCTATATTAGCTCATTTAGAAAAGATAATTTAAATTCAAAATAAAATTACACTTGCTAATATTTCATAAATACTTACTCTTCCTGTGCAATTATAGTTATTTCCGTATGAACAAACAAGAAGTCTTGCAATCTTTGCTTCATCGGTAATCTTACTACCAGCCTTCAATTCACCAGTAATTGGATTTATATCACCTTTTTTAATAGCATTATCTAAGTGCTTTTGAATTGAATTCAACCAAGTTCTCATAATTGACATCCAATACTCTTCACTTGGATGACCGTTCACTTTGATCACATAACTTGATTTTGCTGTAACAGTAGAAAATTAATGTATACAAATATGGCTAATTTGATGAAAACGACATGTTAAATAAGGGATTTGTAAAAATGGAAATGAATGAAACTTTTAACAAATGAATGAGCTTAAATTCAAAAAAATTAATAAATAATTTTAGCTAGTTTTTACCGATGTCCAGGCGATACTGTTCGATTTGTTCTTGCTGTTCTGGAAAATTGATTTTATTGCCTTTCAAGATGGCAAACATCGGATAAAAACTAAAATACTTCTCTCTTGCTCTCAAAAATGCAGCTGGAGCTGTTCCTTCTGGTAAAACATCAGATAATTCCAATCCAAGATTTGATTGATAAAGACCAAGACAGCTAATTATTAACATTGATGTGCATGCCACAATTACCACCAACTAAAAATTGAATTTAATTTATCCAGTAAACATTAATACGTTTAAATTTCTAATCAATGTTCAAAATTTAAATGACAAGATTCTTTTGCGAGAATTGAATCATTTATTATGTTGAATAATACTTAACTAACCTTTGTGAGAGGTATAGTCAAGAAAGGGATGTAATAATATTGCAGAAATCCGCTTAACGTATACCATTTCTTCTCTTCATTATCATTCTTTACCAACAAAGAAGGTGGTGGACCAGGATAGATGTGACCAACTGTCGATAAATTTCCTACTACTCGTTTTCCTTTATTTAATTCTAAGGATTCCGCTCTAAGCTAGAATAAAACAACTCAAAGAAATTATTTCAATATTTATTTTTGAAAAACCAATCAGTTTGATTATATAAGCTGCAAAGTTACTTTTTAAAACATCTTTCTTTTCATCAAATTAAAATTTATTTATTTATTTGCTTTTGCTAAAAATAATGCAAACAACCTTTTTGGCATCCACACTGTTTCCCATAAAACAACAGCCCAAATCTCGTCTAGCAGCACGACATCGTCGTAAATCAATTGCAATCATCGCCGGATAGATTATCATAATAGCAAGCATATTGAATGTCAATAAAATAGCTGTCTGCAATTTTAAAGAAAAAAGAGAAAAACTTCACTTTTTATCTCCTTTTTTTAATCATATTTTAACAGTGTTTTAAAAATCACCGTAAAATAAGATGTACTAAATTTGAAAAAAAGTAATATGCTTAAACTGATCAATTGTTGGAATGTACTTCCAGTAACATTTCCTTCACATCATTTCTACTTTTGCGAAAATATATGCCTCAAATTAACAAAAATATATTCCTTTTCAGAAAATAAAAAATCTAAAATAATATCAGCAAAAATCTAAAACGACAATATTATCTAACCTTGTCTAATCAAATAAATTTTATCCTTGTGTTTCTTATATTTTCCTCAATTATTTGCTACAATAATTATATATA